GAAAACGAGTTTTGAGTGATTCGATCAGAGCAGGTGCGGGTACACCGGCTGGAATGGAGAAGGGAAGCAAGGCCAATTGATGAAGGAGATGCAAAATCTCTTCTACATTATGAATGTGATGGGGCCCAGAATCAGATCTACTTGAATGATCCTCTTTATTAATCATTTCAAGCCTGTAAAGACGAGGTTTCTCTTCGATACTAGTCCCGTACGCTAATTCCTTTTCTTCACTTTTTCCTTTTTCTAGGATGGAATGTTGGCGGTGTTTTACCTTTCTCCTGCCCCTTTTTTCCTTGCCTCTCCAATCCTCATCTTCATTTTATGATCCATCTATCACCCCACCGTCTCCTTTTCCACAATTCTATTATTTTTATTATTTTTTTCATATCCTCTGATATCCCTCCCCCTCCAAGTTATATTATAACTTGCGCAAACCATGAATTTGCCTTAGCCAGAACCAGAGAGAAATACTATTCTAAATACTCACACCTCAGAAATAACACCCTTTTCTCTTGCATTGATATTCATATTAAAAAAAATGGCAGCTACATTTCCACTATTTCACCATCGAATTATCTTCGTAACTCTTTTTATTTACACTTCCCATTCTGCTCAAGTTAGAAACAAATTATTATAAAATAAGACTAGTCTCGCTTTTTCCTCAGTTACCAGCATTGTGTTGATTTCCAACATCCGAAATTGGGTCCACAACGAACACACCCAATAGCTTTGTTAGCGACATCTCTCCTTTTTATTCTCCAGACTGATATTCAAGTTCCACAACAAATAAATTTCCCAGGTTGTATTCCAATTCGCTTTCTTTGTCTAGCATTAAAACAAAAAAGAGAAGGCGTGCCCTGGGCCACAATTACTCCACAATTACTCCGTACTCCACAATTACATCTGTACTACAAAGCGTAAATCTTTAAAAAAAAAAAAAAAAATAATAATAATAATAATAATAATAATAATAATAATAACTCGTTAAAAAATTATTTATGAGAATTAAGGATAAGACCTCCTCGATTAACGAACATCTTTAATTTATATTCTAGGCTCTAAAATAGAGATACGAATGACGATAGCCCCAGTGAAACATGGTATTCTCTTTCTCGTGGAAAAAAAAAAAAAAAAAAAAAAAAAAAAAAAAGAGTAAAGAAAAGGAGGGCGTCAAGAGAAAAGGGCTGACATGCTGAGCAATACATGGTGGTAACATTGGTTTAGAAATAGCTGTGCTGGAGAAAGTAACCAGGCTGGAAGAGTTTGAGCAGGTATCATGTTCTAGGAAATATGTCTTGAGATAGAATGCGTGCCCCAGCCAATTTCAAGGAAACACAGGATCATAAGTGTGTAAATAATGAAAGGACATCACGAGTTCAGGTGATTCAAAGGAAGAAATAGCC